ATGCAGGTCACCAAGGTGCAACCAAGTACAAGTTGAGAGCCAGATTATGTGTATTCTGGGATGGAATAAACAAAGATATTGATCAAGCTGTAAAATCATGCCCTACATGCCAAAGCCATCAAGAAACCCTGATGCCTCATGAGATCCCAACAAGACCATGGCAGATAGTAGGTACAGACCTATTTCACCATGATAACAACGAATTTCTTATTGTTGCAGACTACTACTCAAAGTTTCCGGTCATAAGAAAGTTACCAAAGCCCTGCACAAGTATTGCTGTAATCACAGCTACTAAGAGTATATTTGCAGAACATGGAGTACCAGACAAAATAATCAGCGATAATGGCAGACACTTTGATAGCAAAGATTACAGAAAGTTTGCTGAAGAGTGGTGTTTCGATCACACAACCAGTTCACAACATTACCCCCAGTCAAATGGCTTCATAGAAAGGTCTATCAAGACAGTGAAGAGTACCCTAATAAAGTCTAAAGAAGACCATATGGATCCTGATATGGCGCTGCTGTGCCTAAGGACCACACCTATAGATAATTACCTGCCATCACCAGGAGAATTACTCAGCGGTAGAAGGTTGAAGAGTAACCTACCATGCAACAAACAAGACATAGACAACATCCAAGCTAACCTGAAAATGCATCAAGACTCACAGAGAATGTTTTCATGACAGGCAAGCCCACGACTTGCCACCATTAGCAACTGGACATAGAGTCCGTATTCAAGATCAAACAACAGGACTGTGGACTCCAGGTACTGTCAAGCAGACGTGCACAGAGCCAAGGTCATACTTAATAGAAACTCCAAATGGCCATGTATTAAGAAGAAATCGACGACACATCTTAGACTTAATTTCTCCAAGAAAGAAAGTAACCTTTAGAGAAGAGGAAACTAATAGACATAATGAGACTATAACACCAAATGAACACAGAGAAGTAATAGCTGACACAGGAAACAAGAACCAGCTGAACAACAAAGAGTTCCTGATAGAACCCCACAATGTAGAAGACCATGTGAGAGATGTCTTCCAATGACATTAAGTGAAAGTGTCAGTGATTGTGATAGATATCAGTATCAAGCCAGATCAGGCAGAGCTATTCGCAAACCTGATAAATTAAATCTGTGACTGTGTTGATACTCTAAGATCAAGAGTGACTGTTTAAAGTTGATGTTGATAATTTACAAGTTAATGATAAAGTTAGAGTTGTCTTAAAAGTTACAAAGTGATTAAGCTGAAAGTTGTTACTCCCTGTGAAGATATCTTGAAGAAGAGGGATGTAACAGATTGACATTAATATACCTATAATAATATATGATCTATAACTATCCGTCAGGATACTAGCATCTTAGACTATTGGTACATCTATACGCATGCACGACGTGAGTCCCAGTAAGACGTCAGCCCGACAGACGTCTCTTAGTTTCTCAGTAAACAGTGATTAACCAAACCCAGCGTTCGTTATGCAGTTCTCAGCTGATACGACAACCTGAGAATATTACAGGGGGCAAGGAACCATTTGATGGGAAGGAGTTGGAGTCGACCCATGGCAGTCAGGTCATGAGCTGAGGTGAGGAGACCCAAGAGCACCTGCCATAGTTTAAGAGTTCGAGAATGATGGAGGGCAGGAAGGAGATGGGTGAGATTTTTCAACACCTGTCCCAGGGAACTTGAAGGAGGTTCTGGTTTGTGAGAAACAGGATGAATTGTATGACAGTAGTGGCGAACATATTCCATAAAAATCGGCTCACTCAGACAATGTAGAAAAAAAACCGGCCGACATACCTCGGACATGTGCCAGGCCCCTGAAGCAGGATAGTAATATTACTGAAACACCGGACCCATATATATAAATTACAACACTAAAATGCTCGACAATATTTAAAGAAAACTGATGATGCCATATTTTCCTTACATACATTCTTGAATTTGGAATATCCTTTCAGATGACAATCTATTTCCGGACATTTGACAAGCCCAAACTCGCTCTTCGAACATATGTATTCGTCAATATACAGGGGAATACTACTATCAGACCATACTCTTGTATTGGCAGTAACATACTGGTACTTGATATAGGTATGTTACTTACAACTTGTCTTCTTCTATCTCGTAGTCCATTGTTATTGATTGCACAGAAGGAGACGGAAGTGGTGCAGATGATAACATAATTTGTACATGCGCATTAAACGTTGATTGGAGTTATCTCCCCCTATTTCCCAAGTTCCTACAAGGCCGGTCACTGCGAGGAATTTGCCTGTTTCCAAGTATCAGTTTCAGATGATTGCAAGAACAGAGACCATAAAATAAATGTTATTGTCTTTGATGCGAATCATCAAAACGGCTGCATTTAATTATCATGTATTTATTAAAATGACAAACAAATTCAACTGACGATAATTAATTTTCCGAAAATGTTTAACCAGGGAGTCTATATAGACTCCCTGCTTTAATCAACACAGGCCTGTTTAAAACAACATGAAAAATTCATTCCCTGTTTTGCGCCTTACACCTTGTTTTTGAAAACTATGCGATTACCTCAATTACACATTAAATTTGATAAACACGGATCTTTGAACGGTAAATGAGCGCTGTACACAGCATCGTTGGAGTGGGGTGGCATTGCCCCACGTCCAGTCCCCAACTTGTGAAGTATGATAAAATGATTTCCTTCGTTTGAAATTGTATCCAAGAAGTATAAAAACGTATTTATTTATGAGCTTCACCAATAATTTCATACATCACCAGTTAGTTTGTTTTCAATGCCGTGATTTTAGAGACACAATTAATTATGACTTGGAAGCCGCAGGTGTACTGTAAATGCCCCAGGATGTCAACAATTCGTTAAACATATAGATCTAGTGTTTATAAAAGCACATACTTTACTTTTTTAAAACCAGCTGGTAGTGACAAATAGTTAAAATATACCCACACTCAGGCTCAGTGATTATTTACCATTAATTTAAGATTGGATTGTAAATTAAATGAATAAGGAATTTCAATATTTTTACTCTGTGCCAGTGTCGGGCATGGCAACCAGCTGTATGCAGTATACAAACAAGTGAAATATGCGTAAATTTATCTCAAACTATTCAGATAAAGGTTCATAAAGTTGTAAAACGTCATTTTAAGAAGAAAAAATTAAATGAATGAATGAATGAATTCTGTGTAATGTAAATAAAAAAATGTGGTTTCGGGATCAAAACTGTACAGATTAGTGGAATTTGACCGTTTTCGACAAATTTCTTCAAAGGACTGAAATTGCATATATTATTGCAGCACAAAATTTCCGAATACGACGAACTATAGTGAACTCAAAAAAGTAATTGTCGGAAATGCTAGGGAAATGCTTTTCTGGCTTCATTTAATAAATACGAATTATAGAGCAATAAAAATAGCAAAAATCAAAATAAGGCAAATCTACCTAATCTATCGTATCCTAACTGACACTGTGATTAGCCCAAAAGCTTATTTTACAGGCAAATCAAGGATAAACTTTTAAAATGTTCGTGTGTTGTCATGCACGTATGAAACGGCCCATAGACTGAGGTAATTTCCTTACACCGGCCCGTACATTCTCACAATGCAAATGTTGTTCTACAGATCATTTCTTTAGCCAGCATGAGACTCAACTGATGACGTATCTGAATCTGTACTGTCACCCAAAGGTGTGATAACTGGTGCAACAAGGCTGATATCTACGCCGTCACGTTGGCGGTACTGACGCTCAGTTTCAAGAACGAGATCTTCAGCCTTTGTCAAACCTCAGGTGTGTTTCTAGCAAAAACTGTGTTGATCAACCCTTTGACATGTGTGAGTTTCGTTATGTCTTGCCACGAACCCTTTATAGTTAGCCCACATAACCTCAATAGGGTTGACCTCACACTGTCTGACTGGCGTACTTAAGACAGCGTGACCATGCTGTGCTACCAGGACATCTATCTTGTACATCACTGGTTTCTTATTCAGACGAATTTTCTTCATGAGTTGAACTTTCGTTTCGGATGGTCTGAAGTCGACATTGCAAGATGTCAGATATTCCTGCATCGACGCCTTCAGACTACTCATGGTTGACACGACTGGCGTTATCCATGACAGTGACAAAGGGGTTGTACAGATTGGGCAGTAGCTGATTTTCGAACAGTTGAAAGGCAAGGTATTTCTGGAGTGGGTGAACCATAAATTGTCACTGCTTTGCCTGCTAAATCCCCTATGATCATGGACAATGCATCATTTCACAGTATGCAGGATCCAGACGTCTTATAGCCTTAAGGAGGTATGGTGACGTGGCTGCAAGCGGACGAATATGACCTTTCCCTTCCAGGGCTAATTAAATCAATTAATTCTAACAAACCTGAGTCCGTATGAATGGTTGACAATTACATCAAAGGTCAAGGTCACACCGTGTTACGACGTCCCCCCTTACTACTGCGATCTGAAGACACGAGTGAATATGGGGTATCGTCAAAACTGACGTTGGACGATTGGACACAACGTTTAAATTGCGGGATGTTGAAACCCTTGGCCTGGTAATATAGGTAATGCGTTACTAAAATCGTCAAGGAGATAGAGTCAAGATACTTGTCACGTGACGGACTTCAGCAAGTAAGTCCCACCTTTAGTTGTGACCATCAGTAGTGACACAAGTAACTCCGACCACGAGGGCTGTGACATGAGCGAGTTAGATTGCGATTAAAATTATCAAGAGACTATCCCTCTTATGCTGTCAGTCCTTGCACGTTGTGTAGCTCGCGCATTACGCTTTGGTACGGAACCGTAGAGGGGACATCGGATGAGAAAATAAATATCAATAGTAAGGCGTGGCCACGAGATAATAAGTCGAGGCCACGAGATAATAAGGCGTGGCCACGAGATAACAAGTCGTGGCCACGATATAATAAGTCGAGACCACGAGATAAATAAGGCGTGACCACGATATAATAAGTCGAGGCCACGAGATAAATAAGGCGACATAATTTAGCCAATGAAAACTCAGGTTACGTATTTTCGAATTTTAGGATGGAGGACCTCGAGCGTTTTCTCACAGACAGGGGAGTTCCTAGCGAAAACGTTCAGCTACTTGTTGCTGACAAGGTAAAAAGACGATAAGGTTTTCGTGTAAAACGTACTCTTCAGGTTTGCATGTAAAAATCACATTTATTACTGTATTTTCACGGTAAACGGTTGACTTGGCCAAGGTGTATGTATCATTAGGCGATGAAGAAGTAAGCTTTGCTTTTAAACGATTTTGTACCATATTTATGAATCTTGACCATTTCCAACGAAGACCTAGAGACGAAGTTCAGTGTTTTCGTGCAACTCAAGTTTTGAACGGGCGAATCTTGAATATTACTGATATACATGGCAATAATCATTGTAATGCTATCCTACATACAAAATCATTTTGACATCATCAGACAACCAAATATATTGCTGTTCTCTTTGAGTTTTGTTTTTAAAAAAACCCAATAAACAAATATAGAAATATAATGAAACAAACAAACTATTAAACAAAATTGGATATGCTTCAATAGTTTCATAGCCTAAATGTAATAATGTGCACAACATGCTTTGGCAACATTTATCAGTAAAGAGCGAAGTAATAAGATATATCGTGAATATTGAAATAATCATTTGTGCTGACAATTAGCATCGATTTTCGTAGCTTATTTTCGATTTTGAACAGGCTTAAAGTTCTGGGATACAGTCCTTACCATTAGATTGTTAAATGATTTAGAATTAAATTATAAGATAAATAACAGGTAACATTAAGATGAGTTGAGAATTATTACTATTATTCATGTGATTTAAAATATAAGCTTTGATGTGATTAAACCACTGACGAGATACAAATATTTATGTTAAGATCGATCCAAGCCTTATCCTTGAGATGAAGGATGAAGAGCTTTCTAGATATATTCCTACATACGGGGACAGGCTTGCGACGGTAGTCTGGTGCAAGTCAAGGCAATTGGAAAACCCAGAAAAACAGACCAAATCAAGCGGATTGTTCGACAGAATTCGAGAAAAAATGTCAAATCGAAGAAAGAGGGGTCAGAAAGATTTTGACTTTCTGCAAGGTAACAAAAACGCAAGAAAAACATCTCGTCGAATTAAAGTTGGGTGGATGGATTTTGACACGAAGGTTAATGCCTTTAAGCAAGTGCGGAGTCAAAACGGGGGTGGGACAAGACATTTATCAGTTTATAGGGATGCTGGACAAGCAGATATTCTGGCAGTAGCCAAACAACTGTTCTTTACCGATGGTGAAAGCAAAAGGGGAAACGAGGCGCAATTCACTTTCTCCATCAAAGATTTTAAAGGGGAAGAAATGGGCCAAAAAACAGTGGCTAATGTATATGAGGAAACTAAAGTAAAGATTATTCGTTTCTACATGAACACAAAGAAAAAAGAGAATGAGCAAGATCTGTCAACTGACGTGGTCCAACACCAGTCTAACAATGAATCGGCGAGTCAAAAAAAGGTAAAACCATATTTTGATATCAGGTAAAAGTAAAATTGAATTTTTTGCCATGCAACATAACACCGTCACTTTAACTTTCCATTTACTTTATGAACATATAATTACAAACTGTACACATAATGGTCAACATTTTACATTTGTGTTATTTTCCACAAATTCAACAAACACTATATTAACATGTAATCTGATTGCATTAAAGTTAATTTAGCGACCACAAATAATCTATACAAAAATATGACTGAATACAGGATAGAGCCCTACATAAATTAAATGGGATGGCATGAAATTACGAAAAAGTATTTTTTGAGTTAAAAAGAGCTTTGGTATGATTGTTAGATCCGATCAGTAAGAAACAGTCTACCATTTTCATAAGCCATTCTGTATGCATACATACATACATACATACATACATACATAAATACGTTGTGTCGACATCTGAGTTGGAATAAACCTTCTCTGAGATGTCTAGTTTCTAGAAGCCTCACACCTCAGCGCCATAAAATAACATTGGTAATACCATCACATCGAACGCTTTCATCAAACAGTCAAGTGGAGAATGGACTTTTCTTGCATATACATACAGACGAATATACATGCATCTTTCACAGTGTAAAGGCAGGGGTCAATATTGTTGGATGCAAAATCTGCGAGAAGGAGCGTCACACTTAAACATACGAAAATATGTGTATTGCATGCGATTAGAAATTTGATTTATCTTAATATATGCAGTTGTATGAAATCTCTTAGATTTGTTCTATTGGAGATTATAGACATTGTTGTTTTTACCCCTAAATAATCTGGACAATGGAGATTGATGACGGCACTCCAATTGCTTCTACGGGAACGCCTACTGCTTCTCCTGGGACGCCTACTATTTCTACTGGGATGCCCACTGCTTCTACCAGGACGCCCACTGCTTCTACCGGGACGTTTACTGCTTCTACCGGGACGTCTACTGCTTCTACCGGGACGTCTACTGCTTCTACGGGAACGCCTACTGCTTCTCCTGGGACGCCTACTATTTCTACTGGGATGCCCACTGCTTCTACCAGGACGCCCACTGCTTCTACCGGGACGTTTACTGCTTCTACCGGGACGTCTACTGCTTCTACCGGGACGTCTACTGCTTCTACCGGGACGTCTACTGCTTCTACCGGGACGTTTACTGCTTCTACCGGGACGTTTACTGCTTCTACCGGGACGTCTACTGCTTCTACGGGAACGCCTACTGCTTCTCCTGGGACGCCTACTATTTCTACTGGGATGCCCACTGCTTCTACCAGGACGCCCACTGCTTCTACCGGGACGTTTACTGCTTCTACCGGGACGTCTACTGCTTCTACCGGGACGTCTACTGCTTCTGCTGGGACGTCTACTGCTTCTACCGGGACGTCTACTGCTTCTACCGGGACGACTACTGCTTCTACGGGGACGCCGACTGTTGTTTTCAACTCGGGCAGTGTACGTATAACATTTACGAAAAAGCATTAAACACGTGGAGTATCATAATTACAGACCCGTGAAGATCCGGGATAGAATTGGTCTTCAGTAACCCATGCGTGTCGTAAGAGGCGACTAACGGGATTGGGTGGTCAGGCTCGCTGACTTGGTTGACACATGTCATCGTATCCCAATTGCGTTGACCGATGCTCATGCTGTTGATCCCTGGATGGTCTTGTCCAGACTCGATTATTTACAGACTGCCGCCTTATAGTTGGAATATTGCTGACTGATGCGTAAAAATAAACTCACTCACTCACTCACTCACTCACTCATAATTACTATTGAAATGAATGCCTAGACTTCTTGACACCGTAGTGCTTTGTTTTAAATCAACTCCTGACGAAAACAAGTGATGTGTTCCAACAAATGGGTTATACATTTCTTGGGTTTACAATAGAAAAAAAGCAATATGATGAATAATGACGTCATCCTTGTACGGTCATTCGGTAGAGATAAACGAGATTTCACAGTATATTGTCAAATAAAGCGTACAAGAAATAACATATTATATGATACAGTCAGTATAATCAAATATCTTGTAAAGTGAAAAAAATAGATATTTCACTCATCGCTATGCTACTTGGGAAAATATCTCCACTCGATAAGAGACAATTGCTATGTCATTGCAAACATCTAGTATCCACTATTACTATTTTCACAATGTCTCTTGTAAACGTCACAAGACATGACGTCAAACGTCACACAATCGATGATATACCTCTTCTGAACATTGTGATTTGAGTTTTGGTTGGGAAAAATTAAGGTCAATGTCAATTGGATATTTATTACTTTTATCAACTTGTGTGGATATATTTTATATCGGAAGGCACTCGGTTGTGGTTCTTTATATTTTATACTTCATTGTTTCGTCTCCTTGCAGGCAATGCAGTCAATTTCAACTGATGATTCACTACCAGATCTAGACACTGTTTCATCAGAAGGCGGGGAAGCCGAACTTGGTGTTGAAGACCAAAATGGTGAAACTGTAGACAGCACGGTCACATACAATGACGTGGATTCAAGTGAAGGAAGTGACTTGGCAGTATTTGACATACCAAGGCAGTCCAACAGGAACCTTGTGTATACTCGGAGTGACCAGCCACTCCCCCTTCAGCCTCCACCCCTTAGACTTGAGGCCGTGCGGTGAGAGAATTATTTATGTGATTCAAACATAAGGGAAAACACAGTTTCATCAGTAAATTGAAATAACCTAAATCAGCCATGCATAAAACGTTTGTCATTTTCCAATTTGAGTTGCAGCTTATTAAAAATTCAAGTAGATATCGTCAATTTGTATCTTGAAAGTACTTTGCAATTATTTGTCATATGTTTATGCAAACATAAATCTTAGATGTAAAGTATAAGGTCAATTGTATCTCCTATAGGTCTTATCGAGTGGATTCTTTCATATCCATAACAAAACGGAAAAAGTAACATTAAAGTTATGTTACAAACTGTTAAAATAATTTGGTCTGAGTTCAGAATTGAAGTAAGACGAGTTCTATGGATGAACAACTTCTTTATTACATTTAGTGCGACGTTTCGGTGTAGATCCTAACACCTTTTTCATGCAAGTGATGAATTGTTTTCTTGTTTTATAGACATTCAGAAAATCTTCACGAGATTTTGACCAGACTCGCGTCAGTGATCAATAAAGAACGACGGAACATTGTTAATGTCACAAGACGTAATGTAATGTCAGGTGGCATCAGAGCTTTCAACAGGCCATCTTTCAACCCTGAAAATGGCTTGTCTGTTAAGTTTGCTGGGGAATATGCAACAGACGATGGCGGGCCAAGCAGGGAGTTTTTAAGATTGCTCATGAAAGAAATATCTTCTCTCCCCATATTTACCGGTGACGAGACAAAAAAGATGCTGGATTTGAATTACACTGGTAAGAACTTGCATGTTTTGTGAAGTGTATTGATTTTTGCATAACCATTTGTTTACCTTGAACTGAAGTTTACTGATAGACCTTGGGGGTATTTGACTTGAACTGGACGGGATTATAGTGCTATTCAATATTTTGTATAATGATAGATTTAGCTCTTTGACATATTCATACCATTTGAGTATCATCACTAGATATATTGATACATATGTCAAGCTGTATCCCAAAAGGTAAAAGGTAGAATACACCCATAAAGTAGTATCGAAACAAATTATGTTTAAAGGTTTCAGGTGTCAGGAAATATAGCTACATGTACATCACAATTTTTATTGGTTCTGGTCAGTTTGCAACAGCTGACAGTAAACCTTTAAAGAAATATTCCGAGATCCAGATATGTGGGTGCTGGACTTCCTCATTGACAATAATTTTGTCAAGTTTGGGGATAGAACATTTCGCCAAACGGTTGGAATCCCCATGGGTAGTAACTGTGCTCCACTTCTAGCTGACCTTTTTCTCTTTGCATATGAGTCTGAGTGTTTAACAAATCTTGTTAAATCCAAGAAACGTTACCTTGCTAAAAAGTTTAATCTCAGTTTCAGGTACATTGATGACATTATTTCACACCAAGATAAATGAATTTCTGGATTTGATATATCCACCAGAATTAGAAATTAAAGAAACCACTGAGAGCCAATGCTGGGTTTCCTATCTCGACTTATGCATTGAGATTGACAATAATGACAGCATTTCTACTAAGCTATATATGACAAGAGGGATGATTTTAATTTTGCCATCGTCAACTTTCCTTACTTGTGTAGCAACATCCCCTCAGCTCCCGCCTATGGTGTCTGCATTTCACAATTGCTTCTGTACTTAAGAGCATGTACCTTTTACTCAGACTTCAAAAAAAGACATGCGCTACTAACAAATAAACTCTTCAAGCAAGGTTACACTATCCAGGGCCTTGTCAGGTCTTTCCAAAAATTATATGGCAGACATTCGGAAGCCTGCACTAAATATGACAAGTCACACTTCATATGATGTGATGCCATCCCATTTAATGACATTCATGTTGAGTTTTCTAAACTCACGGCAAATTGGCATTTAATATTTTCTTGAAATTTTGTGAACGACGGGTGCTACCGGTAGGGCAGGAGAAGCTTACCATTTCGCGAACACCTTATCTCATCACAAGTCGGTGATTCATTCAAAATCTTTCAACACGATTTTGCCTTTCATGTCCAATGGAATCTGTTTCGGCAGATATCGAGTTTGATTGTTCTTTGGCGTTGACGTTATTAATTTATCCATTCACTGATGTAAGTTTTCTTGTTTTAGCTCTACAAAGCGGTCTCTACTTGACAGCGGGGAAGATGATAGCATATTCTGTCGTACACAATGGACCTCTTCCACGGTTTTTCAGTCCACTGCTGTTCAGTACGCTTGTTGGCGACAGCCAAATTCAGCCAAAGATTGATGACATCCAAGATGTCGCACAGAGGGAAAGTCTACTGAAGGTCGATTCAAACTCAATTCCCTAATTAGGTTTACATGATGCGTTACAAGATGCGGAACTGCCTTATCAACATTTGTGTGGTCCTTTAGTGTCATATATGTTTAATATATTCAAAAGCAAATGTATCAACTAGAATTATACTTCAGAAATATGTACTGTTTCAACACTGCTATATTTGGGATAGCACTATATGTAATAGAAACGATTCTAGTACTTTGTGGTTGAGTGCCATTCGGGCTTTGAACCCACACCATAAGAATCAGGCACCAATTTGCCAGCATTGAAACTTCCACCATGTACCACCTCAACCACTTGGCATCGAAGCGATTTGTTATAAAAAAACTAACATGTTTGCCTTTGTTCATCAATTAAATTGCATGAATTAACTGTTTGTATTAATTCTATAACTTCTTTTGTCTGAATTGTTAAAACTATAGAAATATGTAATGTTTTCCAGATACGAAATGCAGAGGATATGTCTTCGTTCCTGGATGCCGTAGGTGGTGCTGATCAACTTATCCAACTTGCTGGATGTTACTCTCTTACTCTCTCCTTAGCAAAGAAGGAAGAACTTTGTGATGCCTTGATCCATTTTATTGTGCTTGGCAGAATCAAAGAGTGTCTAGATCAGTATGTACTGCTACCAAGCTTTTCAACGAATGTTTGACCGTTCACTGTCTTGTTAAATCCTTCCAAATGTTTTATGGTAGACAGAATGATATTTCTACCAAATATGACAGGCCGCTTGCAATATATGTGCATGGTGGGTGCTACAGGTAGAGCAGGACACGTTCCCCCTTTTCGCGAACACCTGGTGTCATTCCGATTTGTAATCAGTAATCCATGTATATATTGTTCTCTTTACATCGCCACAAATGCCCCATTGAATCTGTTTCGGCAGATATGATAAATCACAGCCCTAAGGCGTTGACGTTTACTATTAAATATCATTAATAAGTGCAATCGGGTTCGTTAGTGTTGCTGTTGCTGAATGGTGTCATAGTGCAGTAATGGTTAAAGTAATTTTAGTATCTGCCACAATTTAATACGCAAGAGTTAATAAAAAACAACAACATACACTCTCTCAAAAAAGAAACGCAACCCCTATATTTTCAAGATGTTTATCTCAATATGCAAGTTATTATAACACATTTAATATTGAAGACAACAATATGACATTTGGCATGGTGGCAGTACAGTTATGCATCTTTAAGTCCAGACTTCGACAGTTCTCTCACTAAGATTGACTTGACGCAATGGGGCGTCTCTGATCTTTGGTTGTAAGATATGGCTCCCCACATCATGACGTTCCCTCCTCCAAATCTGTCGACCTGCCGAACACAGTTCGGGGCAAAACGTTCGTTTCCTCTTCTATAGACACGCTGTCTTCCGTCACGGCGTTGTAAGAGAAAACGTGATTCGTCACTAAACCAGACGCGCCTCCAGTTTCTCAGGGTCCATATCCGAACGTTGGTGCACCACCTGATGTTGGTGGCGTAAAACAGGTCCAATAAGTGGTCTTCTTGCACGTAGACCGGCCTCTAGTAGACGGTTCCTAATTGTTTGTGCGGACACTCTTCTCAAACCTGGCACCTGTGTTGCAGTGACGGTAGGTGTGGCTAGCCGATTACGTAGGTGGGTGACCCGGATGAATCGATCCTGAGGTTGTGTGGTAACCCTTGGCCTACCATTTCTGGGGCGATCGACAGTTGCATGAAACTGGGTGTATCGGCTCCAAAGTCGGGAAATCGTTGTTTTATGAACATTGAGGTGCCGGGCAACGTTTCCAAAGCTTTGTCCGGCCTCAATACGACCAATGGCGATATTTCGATCTGCAGCCCTCAACCGTAGCATATTCGACCTTGTCTTTCGGTGAAAATGATAGAGTGAATCTCTAACCAACGCGTGCTTTTATAAACCCATACTTCTACTGCTCTTTCCATGAATTGCACGTGCATGAGGCTTTTAGCATGGGCCACGTGAAAATTGTGCTCACTATGATGAAAGAAACAATAAAATGCCCTTGTGCACGAAAATTGGTGTGTTTGGGCGCTTACGTTAATAAACAGTGTACATGGTATAAGTGCATATCAGAAAAATTGTATTTACAATCAATATTTTTCTTCTAGGGGTTTTCTCACATTTTCAGACTGGAGTTGCGTTTCTTTTTTGAGAGAGTGTATTTGGAATGTTTTCACAGTTAATTCTGTTATTATTCATAACAACGATCTGACCGATGCACAATTATACACATGAATTTTGACATCTGAGAATTGATCGTTAATGGGATAAAGTATGAAACCGTCTTTAGGAGAACGTTCCAATGAAACAAACACATGCAACAAAAAATTTATCAAACTCAAATTTATTTTATAAAGTGGGTATTGTTCGAGTTAAGGTGCATAGTCTTATCTGTTTCCTTACACAAACTACTTTAAGATAACTAAAGTAAATGTCTTCTGGGTTTTATGACATCCATGTCTATTGCATATTAGCACAAGATATTTTCAATTCTAGATTCCAAAAAGGACTGGCCACTTTGGGAGTGCTTGCAGAAATGCGTGTTCACATCAAAGAAGTAAGGGAACTTTTCTGTTTCGATGAAAAGTATAAATTGAACGCTTCCGTGCTTGAAATGGTGTTCAGTGAACCATCCTTCTCCGAACCTGGGAGCAACAGGCGCAGAATGGAAGAAGAGACAGTCAGTTATTGGATGGACTATCTTCTGGACGTGGCAGGTAATGAGATAAGAAAAACAGTCGGACGTTAGTGTGTTTATAATAACTGTCATGGTGAACAAAGAATATTTATAACAGCAAATTACATGGGGATATCCATATGTAAAGCTAGAACGTGTTTGAGAGTCCAGATAACCAGACACGATCAGGACTGAGAACATGGTCCCTCTTGTGTGTGTCTCTATCACCTGTTAAGATCTAACTGCATTCGCAAATATGTGTCATGATGTATTGTCAAATGAGTGAATATGGTCGGTGAGTTAATGTGGTTGGGTACATATTGTTTAGTGAGTTCATATGTTTGGGTACTTTCTTTATTTGACAAAACTGTATTTTCAGAGGGCACAGAATCAGTCACCCTGAGTGACATATTGGTTTTTGCGACTGGCGCGGGATCCATTCCTCCCCTTGGTCTCCATCCACAGCCGCAGCTGACATTCCACACTGCAATTGAACTCAACCCTGAGAACAGAGAGAACTTCCCTCGAGCTAACACATGTGCAAATGTATTAGACATTCCAATGATCAGTAATTATAACCTGTTCAAGAAAAACATGAATGCAGCAATCAGTGTGAATATCTTCACTTCCGAGTGAAAAGACGGGCATGACAGTTTGTCATGAATTGTCTTCCCCCTTTAAGTTTTGTTTTGCATTTGTTTCACTTTTACAGAACTGTTCTGCTATAATCGATTGAGCTTTTAGTCTAATTTTATTGAATCTGTTACTACCAAATAGGTTAATTGGTACTGACATCTGATTGTTTAAGAAGATTTTATTTACACCTGGTGTTGAATTTTTAATGGTTTGATGAGGTATGTTATTAAAGTTTAGTTTAAAGGAATTGCATGCTTTGATATCAACATGACAATACCGTGTTCCCTGTAGGGTCAGAAGAGGGGTCGTTTGAATCATTTTACATTTTGTGCTTTTGGTACAAGAGAAACCTTAAATTACTATGACCCTTTTAAATGTGTCTCTTAATGTGAAAATTAAGCGGAATTTGTTTTTGAAGTTTTTGTTGAGACAAAGAAATATTAGCTCATAGGTTTGTGGCATATAGTAAACGTGTTATTTTGTAAACCTGTAAAGAACGTTTATTGTAATGAAACGAAGAAGGATGCAGATATGTTCTTTCTTTAAAACCCCAAATACGTTTAAATGACCATTGTAAGCAAGTTTTTTTGCAGTCAACATGTTTATGTTGTAATGGAAATTAAAAAATATTGATGTTGTTGGTTAAGAATTACTAAGTTTGGGTACAGAAGGTTTAAAACTTACAAATATCGCATCTGTTAACATTTTGATTTATTTGGATTGCATATTATGAACATCTTGTTATGTTTTGAACAGACAGAATAAATCCTGTTTAATTGATAAAAGTTAATGGAAGTCACTCTACCCCAGATATCCTGGTTTTTTCCTGGTGTGGATTACACCGTTAGCATTATAGTTTCTTGAAGTATTGTATTAAATTTGCAGTCATTTTAAAAAAGCTGTCACACAACACAATAAAGAGCCATCAGTTAAAGGCTATTTTATGTCATTCTTTTAATGTTAATTCGTGAACATTCATTTGTTTCATGTATCTACCTAGACTGATAGTTTTGGGGTACAACGTTCAAAGTACATAATTTGCGTTGCGAACTGATATAAAACTTATTATCATAGCAAATAGTCATCTGATAATCTTTACTTATATTACCACCAGGGCTTGTAATTCAACAATTTAAGCAATTGTTCCAAAGGTCTGCGACTACAGAATTATAACATTTTACGAATGACGTGTCAGCTTTCTGTAATTCGGACATTATGTTAATCATGCACTAAACAAGTCAACTAAGCTTATGCAAGTTATTGTATGCACATAAATTTATTGTAGGGTTGCGGCTTTTGTATCAGCAAACATTTGTCAAAAGTGCAATCAGTTGGAAGTTTTGCTTTTACTTCTTGTAAAACATCAGATCTAGAGTGAATCAATGTTAAATTTGGGAAATGGTTTATGTCTGAAACATTAAACGAACGTTTGTACTGGCATTTATACATGCTTTAGCTGCAAAACACTAATGTTAATCATAACCATCAATAAGAATACGTGCCTCGTGGAAGGAGGCAACGAGTTACATTTGGTAGGATCATAAAACAGATGTATATTAGACTTTACTACAGGACTTCGTAGATTTCTTGTCGGAGATGTATATACAGATCAGCTGCTTCTTGAGCATTCGTTGCCGGTTGTAGGTTGTCTCTCCCCATGACTTTAGTACATATTTCATAAACGTCTTCATCACAGGGGATTGTTGAGCGAATCACGGCTTCCTCAAGGCAGGTAGAGACGTCTTCGTCGGACACAACACAGAGTTGATCTTCAGTTTCCCATAGAGCTGGAGCACTGTACATTTGCTCTGGATGACCACTTGCAATATTGTTTCTTGAGGGTCTAATGCAATGGTTGTCCCAAACGGCAGCCACGGAATCCAGATCATCCTAAAAATGTTAATGTTAAAGAATTGTTTCCAACCGATTTATCTGGTGTAGATTAGGACATGAAAACAGCAAAAACCTGTTTTATATTGTATTGATCATTGTAGGTAACAGTAACATATTTTATAGTAAAGAGAAATATAAAATATATGTCGAAGAAAGTTTACATGTATGAAGTCGTTACTTTATGTATGAACAGTTCTACTTGCATGACATAATACAATAAAGTGTACCTGAACAATAGCCATGAAACAAAACTGGATAAGGTTTTTGTCCAAGAAATCTCCCCTGAAATCTCCATTTTCCTCGAGACCTTTGAACGTTTCAATCCAAAACTGTGTACATTCCTTTCTTAGAAATGACCACCAGACTTCGATTCTTTGATTTGATGTACTGGAACCATCAATGAAGCATCTTCCGGCTTGTGGATCTGTATTGCACGTCGAAGATACTGTTGATACTCTCGGACGTGTACATTTTCTGTACCATGGTCAGCCCTTACAATGCGTGGGCAACCTCTGTGGGTCCTAACGGCCTCTAAAAAGTATCCACCAATTACCTTTGGATTGTTGTTGGTATTGTAGACCTTGATCCATATTACTTTTCTTGAAAATCCACAAACACAAGCGTGGATACAAAGTCCAAATGGTTTAAGTTTATCATATCCATCTACATGCCAAACAAAATTTGGTCCTTTGGCATAATAGGAACGCCGACGTAGTCGCCGAACTCTCCTTGATGCAACTCCCACTGGATCTAGATGACGCAAAATAAGTCGAACGTCTTCCATTCTAGCCTTTACACCACTTTGTTGACATCTAGCGTACATGATACGGTAGCCACACAGTTGTCCTGAAGCTGATAGTTGATCCTGTATAAAACTCACAACATCCACGAGAGGGCTGAATCTACGACGACTCAGATTCATAGTCCTCAGAATTCTCTTAAGGTGCCGCACACTTAGTTTGAATCCATAGATGTTGTCAAGAATGTACACAATATCCTTGTAATTGATTCGAAAGATGGAAATAATGTGATATTACTTCACTGCGAAGGTCTTGATTCATAATATGACCAAGTTTCATAGGTAATGGAATGATGAAAAGTATATAAAATGGCCGACCAAAACAGCAATTCTATTGCTTAACTTATCTCATGGCCACGACTTATTATATCGTGGCCACGCCTTATTTATCTCGTGGTCTCGACTTATTATATCGTGGCCACGACTTATTATTTTGTGGCCACGCCTTATTATCTCGTGGCCACGACTTATTATATCGTGGCCTCGACTTATTATCTCGTGGCCACGCCTTACTATTGATATTTATTTTCTCATCCGATGTCCCCTCTACGGTTCCGTACTTTGGCGCTGTTCCCACAACCTTTGTGTCCCTCTCCGTTCAAGATGTCAATTTGTACACATAACATGATAGTTCCCTAAACTACTTTTCCAGAGATTGGAATAAAAATAACAAACATCAGATACTGTTGGGTACAGGGTATTCATTGCCGTGTACCGTAATGTCATTTAATGGACTATTGCCAATTTTGAGTTATCTTGCAATTCATCGTTCTCATTTGAGGCCAACGGACTGCACATGTCGTGTGTCATGGCTATGCAGGTGTAATGCAACATGCATCATGGGAGCAGTGTTGACAAGACAGATGCAGCGTGATCCTGGCACAGTCAGGCTGGTTAGACTCATCCAGCTCAGGACCCTTGCCCCCTCTACACGCAGCCCAGACAGCGAATGCCAGCGAATGGGACTCCTCCCAGGAAGCGCTGCCTAGTCAAACCCACCCAGAACTTTTCGGAGAATGTGAAGATTCCCCAACACTGCAGCCTTCTGCATTACCCAGATTGTCAGAAGGGCTGTATTCCTGGTAGCAAACCTGGGTTCTCTCCCAATGTCAGTCAACAGAATGGGAGGTACCAAACCTAAGGCACCGATAACAATGGGGAGTCGGACAACTTGGTACTTGGGATGCAAGCGTGACATTTCGAAAGCGAGGTCCGCATATTTGCCATGTTTTTCCTCAATCTTGTCAATCATATTAGTGTCAAAGGGGACAGAAAATTCAATGATATAAATGATTTCTTTGGATCCATCAAAAAAGACAAGATCAGTTTTGTTGGCCTGAATACGTCTGAGGCTGTATACGGGCCTATTCCAAAGAATTTTGTATTTATCATTTTCCATGACGCCCTCTACATATTCCGGGTCGTACCATGGGCGGACCTCTGTGTCAAAACCACAAGCATGGCGAAGACGGTAATAAAATGATCGAGCTACACCATCATGTCGTTTAAGATACTGTGTTTGTACCAAAGCTGGGCATCCACTGACAATGTGTTGGACAGTCTCATTAAATTCATTACATAATCTACATTTCATATTTACATTTTGATGCAAAATCACACATTGACGGTTCGAGTGGGAAGTGACTGGTCCTGAGCAGCAAACAGAAAGCCTTCTGTTTCACTTTTCAGGCCAGACGACTTCATCCAAGCGAAGGACTCTGCGGGGTTGCTGATCCTCTCAACACACTGCCCATGAGCTCGATGCAGTGGGCGTTCAGATAGCCTCTCCTTGAAAAACTGAGTCTGGGCCGACTTGATATGGCACTTCGCTTGGTTGACACTCATTTCTGTACCGTCCAGCAG